ACAAAAGTAAAATCACTTCTCCATTAGAAGTAAATTGTAATTACAGATTTCAAGTTCTCCTTTTCTGATGGACAATGGAATGATGTAAGTGTCCTTAAAGCAGTAGTGATCTTTAATTGATATTGTACACACTAATACAATAAGAAAATTGGCCTAGAAAATGTCTAACTTTTTTTATATCTAACCCATTTTGTGGTGTTCACTTCCCAAAGGATACTCTCCTTTCCTGCTGTCATATAGGATTTCTCCTGCTGGGAGACTTCCTAGTGCCAGCCTTCAGAGGGTATCTTGTTTAGTAACACAGACCTTGCTTTGTTTCGGGGCCAAATAAAACAATTCCTCACTGCCTTTACCTCCCTAGGAAATCTTCTACACATGGTCTGGTTTAATTTACTTCATGGTTTCTGAAATGTCTCCAACTATTGATTTTTTTGGGTAATAATGCAGACATTCTGGGAGGAATAAGCAGGCTTATTCATACTTACAAGTGTGAATTAGTTCAGACAACAGGTTGTTCTCTTAAAATCCACATGAAATTGCTCTGTAAGGAGAAAGTAGGGGTAGCAATATTAGAAGGGAGGAGATACTATTTGAGAATATTGTGAAAGTGAAAGGCAATATAATGGGATTTTATGCATCTGGAGAACAATTTAAAGTACTATCCCTCTAGAATTGGAATAGGGAGGATGGCAGAAGATGAAAAAGTAGAGTGATAAATAGGTAGATGAGAGGTGCAAAGGCAGAACGTACATTTTACCTCCATGCCAACCCTACCTATTCGATCATCTAAGAACTTGAGAGTCTCCATGCAGACGTTCAATGAGACCAATTGCTTCTCAAAAGTCAGCACTTTGCAGAGTTACATCTGCAAACCAGAACACAATTCGTAGCCTCTTCTTGCCTGGCTAAGGGGGAATTCTCCGCACTCATAGTGTAAAATAAATGTTTCAGAGAACTGTGGCTTCTATGCTGTCTCATGCCAAAATAAAAAAAAAAAAATTGCACTCAAACTGCAGCACATCTGAAGCAGGTAAGCTGTAAGAAGGAATTACTGATGATTAGATCTTCACTTTTGTGGTTCCATATCTCTAGATTTTGTGACTGGGTGGAGAGGTTTCTGTTTTATGTATTTTACTAGAAGCATATTATTAAAGGAAGTTTTCATGTGACTGTGGATTCAGAGTTGAGTTTTTGTGTTGTGTGTGTCTGTAAATGAGAGAGAAGAAAAAGAAGAAAAAGAGGCAGAGTGAGTGTTTTCCCATCCTGTTGAAGTCTTTGCAAGTAGTAACAGTTTAATTATTTTCCCTTTTCCCTCTCTGGTTACTAAGAAGTAACCGGCAATGGAAACCTATCTGAGTGTGGAGACTATGCAGGGGTGTGTTCGTTAGCATTCTCCTGTAAGTTTCTAATAAATGTGTGTGGTTACAGATGATATAATCAGTTTGTGGGGAGTGCTGCTCTGCACACACTACAGATGGCTCATTCCCAGCAGGGTACTATGCTGCCTCTAAGAAGTACTAGGCTCCAAATAGGCTGAGGATTTTTAACCCTCCTGAGTTTGTTGGCACAAAGGAAAAGAGCAAGACTTTGCCTCAGAATTTTTGGTTTTGGTAGTGCTTGTACCCCAGACAGAAATCAAAGTGCCTTGTACATAGGATGATACTGGTAAAAACAATATCCTAGGGATTTTCATATCAAAATTAAATAAATGAGTTTTTTAGAAAAGTAGATAAAATGTTTGCAGTATTTGGGGAGAAAATGCTACAAAACTCAGACCTTGACCATTGTGACAGTCAAAGGCAAACCCAACTACAATTTCCAGTTCTTTTTTTTTTTTTTTTAAAAAAAAAAAAACAACTTTTACTTTAGATTCAGAGGTATATATGCGGGTTTGCTATATAGGTAAACTGTGTGTCATGGGGGTTTGGTGTACAAATAATTTTGTCACCTAGTAACCCATAGTTATTTTTTTCTGATCCTCTCCCTCCTCCTAACCTTCACCCTATGATAGGCCCAAGTGTGTTTTGTTTATCCCTTTGTGTTCATGTGTTCTCATCATTTAGCTCCCACTTATAAGTGAGGATATATTATTTGGTTTTCTGCTCCTGCATTACCTTGCTAAGGATAATGACCTCCAGCTTGATCCATGTTGCTATAAAGGACATGATTTCATTCCTTTTTATGGCTATATAGTATTCCATGGTGTATATGTACCACATTTTCTTTATCCAGTCTACCATTGATGGGCATTTAGGTTGATTCCATGTCTTTGTTATTGTGAATAGTGCTGCAATAAACATGTGTGTGCATGTGTCTTTATGATGGAACAATTTATGTTGCTTTGGGTATATACCCCATAATGGGATTGCTGAGTAGAATGGTAGTTCTGTTTTTAGCTCTTTGAGGAATCACTATACTGCTTTCTACAATGACTGAACGAATTCATACTCCCACCAACAGTGTATAAATGTTCCTTTTTCTCTGCAATCTCACCAGCATCTGTTATTTTTTTGACTTTTTGATAGTAGTCATTCTGACTGGTGTGAGATGTTATCTCACTGTGGTTTTGATTTGCATTTCTCTAGTGATCAGATATTGAGCTTTCTTTTTATATGGCTTTTGCTTACATGTATGCCTTCTTTTGAAAAGCATCTGTTCATGTCTTTTGTCCACTTTTAAAGGAGGTTGTTTTTTTTCTTGTAAATTTGTTTATGTTTCTTACAGATGCAGGATATTAGGTCTTTGTCAAATGCATAGCGTGCAAATACCTTCTCCCACTATGTAGGTTTTCTACATACACTGTTGATAGTTTATTTTTCTGTGCAGAAGTTCTTTAGTTTATATCCCATTTGTCAATTTTTATTTTTGTTACAATCGCTTTTGGTGTCCTCCTCATGAAATCTTTGCCAATTCCAGTATCCAGAATGGTTTTGCCTAGGTTGTCTTCCAGGTTTTTATAGTTTGGGATTTTACATTTAAGTCTTTAATCCATCTTGAGTTGATTTTTGTACATGGTGTAAGGAAGAGGTCCAACTTCGATCTTCTGCATATGGCTAGCCATTAATTCAATGGGAAATACTTTCCCCATTCCTTGTTTTTGTCAGATTGGTCAAAAATCAGATGGCTATAGGTGTGAAGCCTTGTTTCTGTGCTCTCTATTCTGTTTTATTGGTCTATATGACTGTTCTTTGTACCAATACCATGCTATTTTGGTTACTGTAGCACTGTAGAATAGTTTGAAATCAGGTAGTGTGATATCTCCAGCTTTGTCCTTTATGCTTGGCTAGTTGGGCTCTATTTTGGTTCCATATGAATTTTAAAATAGTCTATTTTTCTAGTTCTGCAAAGAATGGCATTTTTAGTTTGATAGAAATAGCATTGGATCTATAAATTTCTTTGGGCAGTATGGCCATTTTAATGATATTGATTCTTCTGATCCATGAGCATGGAATGTTTTCCCATGTTTGTGTCTTCTTTAGTTTCTTTGAGCAGTATTTTGTAATTCTCATTATAAAGATCTTTCACCTCCCTAGTTACGTATATTCCTGGGTATTTTATTCTTTTTGTGGCAATTGTGAATGGATTGCCTTCCTGATTTGGCTCTTGGCTTGGTTGTTGGTGGTATATAGGAAAGCTAGTGATTTTTGTAAATTGATTTTGTATCCTGAAACTTTGCTGATGTTGTTCATCAGCTGAAGAAGCTTTTGGACTGACACTATGGGGTTTTCTAGATATACAATCAGATTGTATATCTGCAAACAGAGATAGTTTGGCTTCCTCTTTTTCTATTTGAATACCCTTTATTTCTTTCTCTTTCCTGATTGCCCTGGTAGCACTTCCAATACGGTGTTGAATTGGAGTGGCAAGCGAGGGCATCTTTGTTTTGTGCCAGTTTTCAAAAGGAATGCTTCCCACTTTTGCTTCTTCAGTATGATGTCGGCTGTGGGTTTGTCATACGTGGCTGTTATTGTTTTGAGGTATGTTCCTTCGATACCTAGTTTATTGAGAGTTTTTAACATGAAGTTTTAACATGTTGAATTTTATCAAAAGCCATTTCTGCATCTATTGAGGTAGTTATGTGGTTTTTGTCTTTAGTTCTGTTTATTTGATGAATCATATTTATTGATTTGCATGTTTAACCAATGTTGCATCCTAGTAATAAAACTTACTTGATCATGGTGAATCAATGTTCATCAAGGATATTGGCCTGAAGTTTTCTTTTTTGTTGTGTCTCTGCCAGGTTTTGGAGTCAGGATTATGATGGCCACAGAGAATGAGTTGGAGGAGTCCTTTCTCATTTTTTGAACAGTTTCAGCAGAAATTGTACCAGCTCTTCTTTGCACATCTGGTAGAAGTCAGCTGTGAATTCATCTGGTCCTGGGCTTTTTTACAATTTCCATTTCTTATTCAAAGCAAACTAAATAGTTTGCCTTCTGTTTGTGGAGACCAAGTAATAGTGAGATTTTACTTCAGAAGAAAAGGTCCAGAATAGCTCTTCTCATGTTGTAACAGAGTTTGGATGCCTTATTACTAAGGCTTAGTCTGTGGCCTCTTTGGGATCCAATGCTTCGTGTGTTTGATGGAATGTAACAGCTATGTCATGAGTCCTACTCTCTTTTTGTCTTCTGCCTACTTTTTTGGAAATCCACACAGAAGCCATGCTTGTTTGCAGAATCTGCAAATGAGGGGATTAGCAGGAAGTAGATAATTTGTGGGATGGGCAAAAGGAGCAACTCACTCAATGAGATCCAAATGATCTTCCAGTCTCTGCTCCTGTGATACAATTGAGTACGGATACTGTAGCTTGTGCAGAGCCAAACCTTTAGGAGGGACTCTTCCAGGAAATCTGGGTCTCATACATAAGATTAAAACCTCAGGACAATCTGTCTTCATTGCTAAAAATCTTTACTTTCAGGCTTCACCAGGGTCATCTTCTTGGCCTTGTTTATGCCACTTTTTTACCTCACTATTGAGGAAGCAGTTCTTATAATGCAATTTTAACATTTATTGAATTGTAGATTACTATGAGATGTAAACTCTTCCAATTTTTACCAAATTCCAGTGAGTTGAACAATAGTTATGATTCCTATAAAAGAACAGAGAGGAGAGGCACAGAATAAGTTAGGAAAACAGAACCCAAGAACCTCTTATGGCCTCCGATTGGCATTGAAAAACTTTTAGTAAACATAGACTAAGCCCTCTGTATTTCAGAGTTAGTGAAGTAAAGTAGCATTTCTGCTACTCATTCCAAGAGGAAAGTAACACCCTGGTAACAGCTGCAGATACACAAACCCCAGACTTAGATGGAGCCTAAGCTATGCGTATGAAAGCTTGGCTGAACTTGATGGAACAAAACTATTTCATCTTTATATTCAAAGTATCTCATCTATAAACTTCCAGAATATCAGTCCCAATTCACAACTAACAAAGTATCTACAGAAATCTAGGCTTAGAGTCATTATACAATCACTCATGTATAATGAATAAACAAATAAATGCTTAGTGAAATCATATATCATATTCAGTCCTATGGGCCAGGAGAAAAAAGAATCAGTGACGCAGTATATGCTCTCACCTAGTTGGAAAGACAAGAACTTCTGTGTAACTACTCTAAAGGATACCATACTTGTATAAAAGGAGCCATGGATACTATAAAGGTCAACGCTGTGACAAGTTTCCCAAGAAAAGGGAAAGAAACTGAGCTGAGCCTTGAAGAATACACAGAAAAAGAACCTGTGTTGTCAGTGAGAGAAAAAATAAAGGCAAGTACAGGCAAAACTGAATTGAATTCTATCATTATAAAATATGCACTTAGCACCATTTTGACCACGCATAATCGGAGTATGAACAACCTATTCTTTTCTAAGAGTTTGTCAGAGGAAGCCAATGCTCCATCCCTTCTTGATAACTTTCACATTTAAATATGAAACTCTTATTTAAGCTATGTTTTCTACTCCACTATCTTGGTATACAAAAAAAAAGTGCATAGCTGAAATGCTGATTAATAGATTCAATGGCAAAAATTAAAAGTTAATTCAAAATATTCAGAAAGATTTTGTTTGAAGTCTTCCATCTGAGACAACAGTCTCATTGGAATAAGATAAATATCCTGATTCTGGAGTAGGCATTGAAATGGTACTAAATTTTGTATATAAATCTCTCCTATGTACAGGGAAAGGGGAAAAGAGTGAAAATAACTCAGGATTTTTAAGCTGAGTTTTTAAGAAACCTAAGAGTCCATGGGCAGATTTCCTAGTTTCTGTAAATATTTAACAGAATTTAGTTGTATAAATAAAAATTTAAATAACTTTTAAAATTATAGTACAAATCCATTGATTTTGAAACACCAGAGTGCAGCAATCCTAAAAATGCTGGACCAAATATTATCCAAGGTAAAATTCTTTCATAGGACTTTTTTTTTTTTTCTCATGGAAAGAGCTTTTACTGAATGATTTGTTCTACAGAATCTTTATGTCATAGTAGTAGCCAACATTTATGGAGTGTTTAGCGAGTGCCAGATTCTTGAGCTACACATTTTATATGAGATGATTTCATGCTCATGACAAACCTATGAAATAGACACTAAGAGCCCCATTTTGTGATGGGGTACATGAAGCTTAAGAGAGAACAGAAAATGGCCTAAAGCAAATGGTGAAGCCAAGAGTGGCACCTAGAGAGGCTGACAGTAGGGGCCAAACCCTTATCCACTACCCCAGGATGCCCTAAAGATATCTACATGACAAAATTTGGCACAGACTAAATGAGTATGACACATTCTTGCAGTTAGCAATAATAGTACAATGCCCTTTCTCCTTGACTGACTAAAGAACTTTGGTATTTTTCACATAACAAATCACTTTTTATCCTCAGAAATGCTCCAAGCACTTTCCCTCTCATACATAATGCATGATTATGAATAAAGTACAGGAATTATTTTAAGATGTAATACTTCATTCTTTAAACATTATTAATGTTCATGTTATTTATGCTCAAGGTTATTTTTTCCTCATTGCAGAAAACATGAGCCATTTTAAAATTATACCCAACTGCAAGTTTTCCAGTAAGAAATATTCATGATATAATTACAAGGTGGAAATTAATATTTTAAAAATAAAATAATGCTCTGTCTTTTAGGCTGCCTAGGCTAATGAAAATGCCTTTTGTCCAGTCAGAATATATCACTGGCAGCTCCAGAATTAGTTTACCTTTTTCCTCAGAAGCTTTAACTTATCACCTTTTGCAATCTACTGTCTGGGAAGTCAAGAATGCAAACTGCATTTCATATTCTTTACACCTCGAGTTTATCTCCCCCCATTTAGATAATGTGATATTCTGCCAAAATTGCAGGATTTAAATGCATTCAGCAGCCTTAGTTCAAGTAGCTAATTTTCCCTAATAAGTTTTTTCTTTTTCTTTTACATCAGACATCAGCAGGATATCATTTTATAAACATAAACTGTTAAAGAGAGTTTTCAGATTTCAGTGACATCATTTTTATGCCCCACTTAGGAGGTTTATTTTTAAAAATGATTTTATTTTTGTTCTAATAACCAATCATATGATTTTAAGTGCTCAGTTCAGAGTCTAAATGGACAATACTTATTAAAGATTTTATTCACATGAAACTAAATCTTTATTTATTTGTCTATGAATAGAATTCCTTCGTGTCTTTAACTTGAAAAGGTGGTACAAACATAGCTGAAAGTCCTGGTTTTCATCTACTTTGATTCCACAAACCAGAAACATCAAAATATGATCTTTCAATAATATTAACCCATAGTAGAAAGAAATATGATTTGAATATTTGTATTCAAAGTGAAGCCATTGTAGGACTTGGAATTTATATCTTCTAAGGACGGAACAAAACTCAAAATTACATCAACCTAACTTTAGGGCTGGCGGTTTTAACTTCAACATCAGGTCATCACACCAAGTTCAATACCTATTAGATGCTCTAACCATTTCTTTCTTGTACTCAAGAAAGAAGGTTCCTCAAGTAAGGCCCCTCTGTATTGGCCTGGAATAGATCCACATTACACATTTTAGTTCCCAGTCTCTAGGTGGAAGAATCAGACTACTTTAAAAATAGTTATGAACATTTTCCCTTGGCTGGAATTTGTTTCTCTTTCTGTTTTTTTTTCTCTGTCTCTCTCTCTCTTTTCCTTTTGGGTTAGGGTATAAGAAAGAAGTTGACCTAAGAAAGAGAACGCCTAACTGCTTTTCCCAGGTTCTAAAAGGCCAACTAAACTTCAAAATGATTTTTGTTTGATTGGTTAGTTGGGTTTTTTCTATACATTGTTTCAATTCTTTATCTACTGTTTATTCCTCTAACCTCTAAAATTTCTTCATCACTTCACCAAAAGAGCTCTTGCTAAGGTTACTAATTTATTCATTCCATGTTACCAAATCTATGGACATATTTCAGTCCTCATCTACTGCCACATGTTTTAATCATCTCTTCTTTTGCAACTCTTCTTACCCCAGTCACTTGGTTTTGTTTCTTTATCTTGATCCTGTGCTTCCTCTGCAGGTTCAACCTCATCCACCCAACCATGGCAAGGCTGGACTTCCACAAGCCTTGATAGACAGTCTTTCTGTCTCACAGTCTATGCTTTTCTGAGAAAATAACATCCATGTCCATAGCTTCCATCACCATACATACAGCACTGTGGTCATCCTCCCAAATGCATATCTCTAGCCAGAAGTATTCTCTGAGCTTTACATCTTTCTTCTCCTTCTTCCCTTCCTTTCTTCCTTCCTTTTTCTTTCTCTTTCCTTTTCTTTTCCTTTTCCTTCCTTCCTTCTTTTTGTTGCTTTTTCCTTCCTTCCTTCCTTTTTTTCTTTTTCTTTCCTTCCTTCCTTTCTCTTCCTTCCTTTCTTCTCTTTTTTTTTTTTTTTCTCATGATGGAATTTTGCTCTTGTTGCCCAGGCTAGAAGGCAATGGCTCAACCTCAGCTCACCACAATTTCCGCCTCCTGGGTTCAAGCAATTCTCCTGCCTCAGCCTCCCAAGTAGCCAGGATTACAATGACACCCGGCTAATTTTGTATTTTTAGTAGAGATGGGGTTTCCTACATGTTGCTCAGGCTGGTCTTGAACTCCCAACCTCAGGTGATCTGCCAGCCTCGGCCTCCCAAAATGCTGGGATTACAGGCATGAGCCACTGTGCCCAGCCTACATCATTATTTTCAATGTCCTATCCTTCATCTCCATTTGGAAATCTCAGACTCAGCATATTCAAACTAAGCCTATCCAAATCGATCATATGCAAAAACTAGTATATTGATCTAACCCCTAAAATGTGATTCTACTTCTGTTTTCCCTATCTCTGTGAACCCTACAGAACTAAGTTTTTTTTTAACCTTCCTAACTTCACCATGCATACTCAGTCCATCACAAAGTCCCATTAATTAACCTCTAACTCAAATCCATTAACTTTTCATTCTCTTGATTACTACTGGTCTACTCTAAAAATAACAATTTTTTACCTGAACTACGACAAGAGCTTCCTAACCTATCTCCCTATGTTCATCTCTCTGCCCTTTCTCTAACCTGTTCTTTGCACTGCAGTCCATATGATTTTTTTTTGAAAATGCAAATGTAATTATTTCCAATCCACCATTCCCATCTACCTTAATCCCATCTAGATGAGCCCAAGATTGCCAATAGACACAAACTTGTCTAGGTGACTGTGACTGCGACTGCATGTCTATGTGGGAGGGAGGGCAAAGGACAGACCTACAGGCACAAGTCTGAGAATCTGTCTGTTTGCATATCTCTGATTATGTTCCAAAGCCCCTTAAAAAGTTTCTAGGCTTGTTCACTATTTGAAATCATATTTGCCTTTTCACAGGAAATGCCACTTGTGTGATAGAAATCTCATCACTTTCCATTCTTATTTTTTATCTCCGTATGGTCCACAGAAGTCATGTACTTCAGGCGACTTTGCCTTCCGAGAGCAGTGTGGTAGAGCAAGAAGAGCTTAGATTAAGGAGTCATACCAATGTGGACTTAAATTACAGCTCTGCCATTATTATTATTTCAACTCAATTTTAAAATGAAGACATTTCATAATTTTGAGAATTTGATGTTTTATGAAAAGAGTCTAGCATATCACCTAACATATAGCAAGCAGCCAATGAATTTTTTTTCCTACCTATATGTGTGGTGCCAAAGTATTTTATGCCAAAGAAAACCTCAAGATCATTTGTAAACTTAGCCATACTTTAAGTTTGTTTCAAAGACACTTGGAAGTAAGCGTTGAGTGAAAAATTTTATTTTGGTTGCTTCTTTTTAGCTAACATATTTGGAGCAATTCCTATGCGCTAGACTTCATGCTATGCAATTTACATTCACTATTTAATCACTACAAATTTTCTATTATACTATCCCATTTTACAGCTAAAAATTGGTAGAGCTCGAATTTTGAACACAGGCCAGAGTTTCTAATTTTATCTATAGATTTTGACCTCCCTCATTGAAGGACCCAATCCAGAAAGCGCAGATGAGAAATGCGGCCTTTGATCGGCTAAATTTCCTCAGGGACCTACAGAACACTACTGCATTTTGCTAAAATCCAGAGCCAGGAAACTTGACCATATGAGCTTCTTTTCACATTACATGGCAATTCTAAGCTAAGGGGCCCAAAATGTGCTTTATTTTTTCATGTTTGATATAACGCAAATAATCTTTCTGAAATTATAGCATTTTATACATCTTTCTAACAGTATTAAATACCATGACCCTAAAGGATTATCCATGCAGTGTTAAAGATTAGGAATTTGACAAGAAGAAAGACTTTTAACTGTGGTCTTTATAAAATTAAGGATAGTTTAGGGACTGGATTTTGACAGCATCATGTAAGAAAGTATGTAAGCCTCTATGTTTGACAAAACCAAATAGAGTTTCAAACAAAAACTATCTCAGAATAGAAACTTTGAATCTCAGAGAATATTCAAAATACACAAGGATTGTGCACTGGAATAGTTATGCAATGTGATATGCACTAGGTTCATATACTAGGAAACATTTATTTTTTCCCAAGGCTAAGTGCTGAAATCTATCCCCTAAGGGAGCTCTATGGCAGTATCCAAAGAAAAACACGTTTGTCTGATATCCCACAAAGAAATCCAACTGAAAATAGAAAAGATGTGTCTGCAGCATTAGTTCACGAATCTGACTGCAGTTTATATTATCAGTAAATGTTTGGATTCACAAATCAATACAAAAACTACAGGATACCTATAGTTAAAGTCACTGCTTTGATTTGTTGGTCCTTCCTAAACCTGGCCTGCAGTTCTGTGAAATCTAAGAATATGGGTGGAACCGACTAATGTTTTCTCTAAGCATATCCTAGAGTAATCTGAAAGCAGTGATTTTGCTGGTGGACAAGTCTCAACTTTAAATCATATCATTTTATCATTTAAAATAAGGAGGATGTACTAAAATATACTTAATAAGCTGGTACAATGCTGAATATATGGTAGGTGCTCAATGAAACTGAGTCAATTGACCAACATCTCTTGGGGGGCTAATGATGCTTTTAAGAGGGCTGAGTTTAGCTAATATACTTCTCTGTTTCTATGCTTTATATTTTCAAAAGATAAGCTAACTTCCACATTTAAAACAACCTACAGCTAATATATCATCAAATAAATTTTTTAAGACAACAGCACAATTAAATGTCAAGATAAATGGACTTTGAAGAACAGAGCAATAATTTAAGAAGATATCAGTTATGCTAAAACTTTTTAATACAATAAATACCTTTGTATATAACTTTGAAATAGTTAGAGATTGTGAAGAGAATTAGATGTGCTGAATTCCTACACAATAAAGAGACCCACTTTCACAAGATAAAACACCTTGCATTGACATGGCAGACATATTCTAAGGTGACCCCTAGTCAGTCCTTTCCCCTAGAAGGTGGGAGGAACTGGTGACCTGCTTCTTATGGACAGAATATGACAAATTCTCTCTTGATTTGGTTACCATTACCAGTGAAAGGTAATGGAAGCTTATTCTCATGATTCCAATACATGATTGCATCAGGTTCCATAGGCTGCTAAAACAAAGTTAACACAGATTTGGCATCTTAAAACAATAGAAATTTACTCTCATAGTTCTGGAGCCACAGAACCTTAAGTCAAAGTGTATGTAGGACCATGCTCTTCCTGAAACAAAGAATCTGTCGTTGCCTCTTCTAACTTTTGGTGGTTGTCAACAATCCCTAGTGTTCCTTGGCTTGTACCACCCTAACTCCAATTTCCGCCTCCACTGTCATATGGCCATCTTCCCTCTGTGTGTCTATGTGTATCTGTTTTCTCTTATAAGCATATCAGTCACTGGATCTGGCCTTCCTACTCCAGTATAACCTCATCTTGCCTTAACCAATTACATCTGCAAAGACCTTATTTCCAAATATAATCACATTGTGAGGTTCCAAGTGGACCTGAATTTGGGAGAACATTATTCAACCCAGTAGAGTTATATAAGGCTCTGTCTTAACAGACAGAAGGGAGAGACTATCCATTGTTAAGTTTGGAAAAGTAAATATCTTGACTTTGAGAAGGCTTGCGAGGGGACTACATAGCAAGAAATTGCAGGCAACCTCTAAGAGCTGAACACTGTCTGCTCCTGGATAACAGTTAACAACAACAGCAACAAAAAAACAGGGACATCCATTCTACAACAAGAAAATGAATTCTGCCATTGACCTGATCTTGGAAAAGACAAAGTTCCAGAAATGAATTCAGTCCACTGACACCTTGTGTGCTAGTCTGTTCTCATAATGCTAATAAAGACATACCCAAGATGGGAGTTAGTTTGTAAAGGAAAAAGGTTTAATTGACTCACAGTTCCACATCGCTGGGGAGGCCTCACAATCATGGTGGAATGAGGTGCAAACTCACATCTTACATCGTAGCAGGCAGGAGAGCTTGTACAGGGGAACTCCCATTTATAAAACCATCAGATCTCATGAGACTTATTCGCTACCACAGAAACAGTGTGGGGGAAACTGCCCTCATGATTCAATTATCTTCACCTGGCGCTCCCCTTCACACATGGGGCTTATTACAATTCCAGGTGAAATGTGGGTGGGGACACAGCCAAGCCATATCACTTTAATTGTGCCCTTGTGAGACGCTGAATAGGGGATTCATCTAATCCATGGGTGGGAGATAATAAGGGTATAATGTTTTAAGATACAAAATGAGTAGTAATTTGTTCTACTCAAAGTAAGTGAACAGTGAAAAACTAATATAATTGATATCATGTTTCAAAAGTTTCATTCACTGTACCTCATTTATACTTTCCAAGGCCAAATCTGAAGGTGTTTCGTTCAGCTCTGAATTATATACACCACCACCATTTCAGTGTACTCATATGGATTGTTGGGAATGACCTATAAAAGTTGAATGTGTTTAGTAAAGTCAGAATTGTAGTACTCAGAAGAATCTCAGAGATTATATATTCCAATCCTTTTATTATACAAATAAAGAAACTGAGCCACGGATTTAGAAACTGATTCGTTTGATCACAGAGGTAGCAAGTGAAAGAGGCAAACACAGGTCTCCTGGGATCCAGTCCAAAATTTTTTCAATATTGTAGATCCTTACCAATACCCTGGGATCTTCTGAGATCCCTAATGCAAAATAACAGAAAGGCTGAAAATAAATCACTAACTTTTAGAAAATACATGTAAGTTATACAGCTTTAATAAATGTCAATAATCATAATTGCCATTAATTCACTCCTAGAAATGTGCTGGTCACATTTTATTTACCAAATAAATATTTGATAAATAAAAAATATGTTTTTATATACAATTACCATTATAAAATATAAGTGATCTGAAGGTAGCACAGTTCTGTAGGCAAAAGCCATGACTGTAAAGTGAGACCCACCTGACTTTGAATGCAAGCACTAACATTTATTCACTTATAAACTTGGAAGAGTTCTTAAATCTCTCAGCCTTCAGTTTCCTCCTCTGCAAAATGAAGGTCATAAAATTGAGCTCCCAATGTTATATTTAGGTTCAAACAAAATAATAGATGTAAAATGCCTGGCAATTACAGGGTGCTTAATAAATGTTAGTCTATTTCCATTTGCTGATGAATTTGTTCTTAAGTAGAGAACAGTTTTTCCGCTACTCAGATGTTTCTCTGAATTATAATCTGTGTTAGGGGCATTTAATGCAAATATTCTTTTATTTCTATGTGAAGTGACATTGCTTTGAAAACAAATTTCTTTTGTAAGGATTTAGTCTTCCTTGGTTCCAGCTACTCATTCCTTATCCCTTCAACAAGCTTAGGAGAAAAGAAGGGCTTAAAAAGTCTAGTGAAGAAAAAAAAGTGCATTTTACTAGGGCCGAATTTACTGACACATAAGAACCACACACATACACAAACCAGCAGCTCAAAGATTCTTAATCGTTGATTGGGAGTTTACATAATTCAAAGGTAGTAATCCAAAACCTGTTTCAAATTAGATGACAGCAGAAAAGTGATGTGGAAGTAGTTACTGTTAAACTGAAATTCTTCTGATTGCACTATTTATCAGGTAGTATTTCAGATAATTAAATAGAACAATGAGTAACATGAAAGATTACAGTTATGGCTCACTTTTGCATGGGTCTGCTGAGACTTAGTAATAATGTTCAGGCAGAGCTGGAAAAATTCCAACATGGACCATACTGAATTAGGCAACAGCTGGTGAAGAAGGTTTAGTTTATAAGAACTGTCCTAACAGCTGGAGAAAAGTGATATGTGGTTCTTACTAAATGTCACATTAAAAATTAGCAGTAAAATAATTACAAGTTAATTATAAATTTACTGTCTTGATTTCAAACCTTAAGCAATCTTTCCTGGGGCCATTTTAAGGCCATTGTAAAGTTCTTTAATCTCTGCTCAGGAAAATTTATTTTCTAGCAGGTGTGCCTTATAGCTAAAAAAGGAGACATGACTTAAAATCAGTTCCATGAGTTTCAAGCATTTCCACATGTTTTAAAAAATAGTAATTTCAATGTTGCTTGAAACCAGGGAAAGGTCATGGGGAGAGGAAGCTGTGAAAACCTTAATCCTGCAAATCTCATGACACAGGGCATGATGCGACGGGGTTTAAAGCCAGAAGGTTTGGGTTCAAGCCTCTGCTCTGTTAATTACTAACTAGGAGGTTTAGGGTAGAATGCATATCCTCTTTCAAACTTGAGTTTCCACATCCAACTTGAAAATCATAGCACCTACCTTCCAAACTGTCGTTAAGAAGTAGGTGATTTATATATAGTACCTAAGCCAACAGATGTATGGTTCCCAAACCATGCACTGAAGCCCCCGAGGGCACTGCAGCATACTTACATGAGAGCCATGGGATATTCTAAAATGTTGAGGAAAATATAGCAATACTCAAAACCTGTCAGCCACTGTGTGACCTGCTAGCTCAAGGTAGTTTACAGTTTCAACATTAGATCATATTACATTTCTTTCATTGATGTCATATCTCTGCTGAGCTAAGTTTTGGTGGTGGCTAGATAAAACGCCAGTAAACATGAAAATCAGTTTGGAACAGGAAATGAAGGTGGTGGATCCAATATGATTCCAAGGTCTGAGAGGTACACAGTGCCCAAGAAACCCACATATCTCATTAGTAAGTAAGTTATCTATAGTTAAGGCTGAAATAAAAATTGTCTTTCTTTCAATGTATGTGTACTACTATGTTCAAACAGCTACTCTGTTGTTAGTGTATAAATACATTTTAACTTGTTTGGACCTAATCACTCAACTCATGGCACTGTTAGTTATTTTGGCCTAGGAATCCATTGAAAAAAATACTGAAATATTTAGTGCTGTAAATCAAAATGGTTTTGGAACTTCTGCAGAAGGTACCCAGTAAATGTTAGTTTTCTCTCAGACTTCACGTTCTTTCCCATGATTGACTCTCCTCCTCAAAATTTAGACAAATCTAGTTATGTTCTCAATGGCAATACTGACTGCTATTCTCGGCCTTTGCAATTTGATGGGGACCTATAATTACCTCTGACCAGTAGGATTTGAAGGTTATGAACCCTCCATTCACTCTATTCTTCTACCAAGGTGTCTTACTGTTGTGAAGAGACAATGAAGTCACAGGACCCAAGTAGCCTCAATGGTCAAATTAATATATGGAAGACACTTTCCTAGAGAGTCACCTGGGTGCACTGATTTAAGCCAAAGAGATCTAGAGGTTTGTTTGCTGTGAAGCATAGGCTTGTTCTATATTGATCAATACTCAAACTTGTTTCCTTCTGTTGGTCTTCTCCATCACTCTCCTAAATATGGTTTTCTTACTCTTTATGTCCAGCTCTGAAAAATAATTAGATAATAGTTAGTATTATAGAAAAGTTGACCTGAATAATAAAGCCTGAATAGTGGAAAGCTCAAAGAATAGTTAACAGCATGAACTAAAACAGTCCAATTAATAATTACCAGCATTAACTAAAACATAGTGCGATTCCCCATATCACAAATTAGACAGGAACACATTCATTTAGTCAATGCCAAGCTGGGGTTTACATCTTAAGGGTTTAAAAGAAAATTGCAAATGTTTTAACAGTATGATTTCATTTAGGTACAAGGATATATACAATATGATAAAGCCACTTTTACATAAAATGTTGGAACTACAGATATTCAATAACAAAGTATTTTCTGTATTCATGGAAATTTTGCCATACATCAAAAATAAGAAAGCAATTCAAACAGGTACACATTTACATGGTGGGGACATTTCTGATTGAGCTAGAGCAAGCAGAGGAAGTCATCTCTTCCAGTGGTTATAGAGTGAGACTAGAACGAGGATGATTTTTAACAGTAGATGTGCTTTAAAAGGAAAAATTTTAAAAAATTTCTTCATACTTCAGATGTTAGAAAGAAGATGAGGATGACTGGAAGGAAATCAGGAAAAAGAGAACTGCATTCTTTAAGTACCCAATGTTAACTGAATACTGTAATGTGTATTCTATAAACGCTACCAGGTAACTGGAACTTGGTATCTGTTGAGCCAGTGGCATCTGTTGCCTATTATCAAGGGCAGAAATCCAAACACTTCTGCCCACTGTGTCTTGGTATTGCAGTTGCCAAATATTGGATGGAATACTGCTTTCCTCACACAGAGATGAGACAGAGCAAGATCAGCTTCAACAGGGGGTGTCGGTGTCCCATGGCCGGCTGGTCTCTCCTAGCAGCTGATGCAAAGCAATTGGCCTGCATGCATCCCTCTTGTACTACTGCAGAAGGACCTCGTCTTCTCCCCACAGTGGACAGATATATACTTGTGGGGTTGGCGAGAAGCCATATGACACACATACTTAAGTAGAACAAAGGAATTCACATGAAGTCTGAAGCAGGAAGGTTATTTCCCCACAAGATGACAAGACCAGCAAAGGCTGCGAAAACTCTTTATCTCTTGGTAAAATAACGTTACAAGTCCAAGATCTGTTCTTATGAAGCAAGAAGGGGTTGAAAGACTGCCCTCAGGATGGCAGAGCATGACATCTTAGCAGAATGTATAATACATCTGAATAGTTGGAGTAAGAATACCTTTTAAAGAATGAAGCAGTGTGAGGTATAGGCAGTGAGGAGGGGTATGGAAAAGAGGTATCACAGAATTAAGTTGGAATTAGACTACTGAATAGAGAAAACACTATAGAGTATTATTAGCCTTTGTTCACCAATATTTACCCAGTCTCAGCCTTTTGGTAGACAGTCATTATTTTAATCGAATGAATGAAAGAAGGAAAGATTTGCTTGTAAGCATAGAGGTAACCATAATTTTAAATAAAGAGGCATTTAATGATCATATCCAGCAGCAGTGATAAAATACTACTGTTGAAAAAGAACAATGTAGGCACTTTGCCCATAGGTAGTAGACTTTTGTAATAAGACAGGTTGGGGAGGTGAAGGTCCAAGGATGAGCACTGAAGATTGAGAGAAGCTGTTAAATAAATTAGAAGGACCAACAAAATAATCTAGTGGTCAACTGGATGTACAAGTAAGAGTTCAAAGATAAATATGAATTATCTAGCAGATTTAGGAGTGGAAAGTTGTTGAACAAATGGTGATGACACTAATGGAGATAGAAAATGCAAAAGAAGACAAAAATAGAAGATAGTGAGCTTGATGTTGAGCTTGTTTCATTTACATCTTAAGAGGATAAAAGTGGCAATGTTCAGGAGCTCGAGAGAGGGTAGGCGTCAGCAAGTAGTGGGCACTGAGATAAGAGAGTGAAAGAAATCACCCAAAGAGAAGCTCTAAGACAAAATGAGAAGAGGCTTGCTAATATACGGGAAGTACCAACATGCCATATGGGAAGAAGAGAAAAAGCTAATGAAGGTGCTTGGAAAAAAACTATTGGGAGTGGGGGAAAGGGAACTAAGAGAATGATAGGCTGAAATAAAAAAAAATCAAAAGGGAAAGTTATTAGCAAGGAGTTGTCAAACTGGAATGGAACTGAGAAGTACCCACTGGATTTGGCCTTTAGGTCATCACAAATCTCAAGAAAATAGTAGCATCAGAAGGCAGATTGCAGAAAAAAAGTCAGCTTCTTCTTTATTTAGGAGAGAAAGAATAGTAGATACAAAAGGCAGATTATGAAAAAAACTTTTTAAATCCTGACAAAAAGGAGAGACAATGTCAATCAACTTGGCATCAGCTTATCAGATATGATTTGAGAGATGCTGGGAAAACGCTTCCAAAGGTAAAAAGAACTTTCCACGTGGCATCCATAATTTCTTATCTAAAACCCCTTCTGCTATACATTGCTATTTTAAATCATAAAGTTTTTCTTTTAAGGGTCTTCGTAATAAAATGTAATTGTTCCTGAAAATAGTAGTATCTTAAACTCTTCCTCTGAAGTGTTAGTTGACAAGGATTTAACATAGAAAATGTTCCTGTTTAATAAGACACCAAAGGTGTCTTGGTGTTTGGCAAGTAGGAAAGAAGAAAGGGCCCATTAAATGAGGACTTGTGAGGTCTCAAAGAAATAAGCCTCCTACCGGGCGCAGTGACTCATATCTGTAATCCTAGCACTTTGGGAGGCCACAGCAGGAGGATCACTTGAGCCCATGAGACCAGACTGGGCAACAAAGTGAGACCCTGTTTCCATAAAAAATAAAAATTTAGCCAGGCAGGTAGCACATGCCTATAGTCCAAGGTACTTGGGAGGCTGAGCTGGGAGGATACCTTGTGCCTGGGAAGTCAAGGCTACAGTGAGCCATGGTTGCATGACTGCACTCCAGCCTGGGTGACAGAGCAAGACCCTGCCTCAAAAAAAAAAAAAAAAAAATATATATATATATATATATATATATATACACATATATACACACACACATATATATAATTATATATGTGCATATATATATATATATATAAAGAAATAATCCTATTTGATAATTTGCTTAAATCTTGTTTAGATTGTTTTTCTGTAGGCTTGCTCTGCCAAAACTTATTATTTTTTGAAGAAATAGGTTAAGAAAATTTAAACACGTAGCACAAGTGGACTTCTTAAAACACATAGTAACTGGTGATGTTACTGAGATGCTAACAGTTGCTGTTGCTACGCAGAATAAGAACTGAAATTATTGCATTCACTTTGATTATATCAAACGTGCTTTTCTGACCCTAACAAAGAGTATGTTGTCATACACCTACTACTCTTCACAGCAAGGCAGATCCATGATGAGAATCTTTAACTTTAGCTGCTTTCCAGTTCAATGAGTTAATCAAGCATTTACTGAGCACCTACAATGTATCTAGTATTTAACAGAATAGTGTTTGAAGCAAGAAAAAAGAAGAATCAGAGTTAGGTATTATTTTAATTGAAAAGTAGGTTTGTGGCATGTAAACATGTAACAAGTAATTGTATTAAAATAAATTATTTTCTTTCAAGGCTGCCATATATTCATCTTATTACAAATGGAAATGCCACCGTGAGAATAAAAATTCTCTGGTAGCCAATACATTGAAAATCTTTTCTCCTTCAGGGCAAATTATCATGAATATTGACTAGAGAAAAGAAAGAAAAAATGTAATAAGCATACGATCCGTTTTGCTTATTTTTTAAAATTTTTTATTGTTTTGAGATGGAGTCTTACTCTGTTGCCCAGGCTGTAGTGCAGTGGCACGATCTTGGCTTACTGTATCCTCTGCCTCCTGGATTCAAGCAATGCTTCTGCCTCAGCCTCCCAAGTAGCTGGGACTACAGGCACCCGCCACCATGCCCAGCTAATTTTTGCACTTTTAGTAGAGATGGGGTTTCACCATGTTGCCCAGGCTGGTCCCGGACTCCTGACCTAAGGTGATCTGCCTGCCTCAACCTTCCAAAATGCTGGGATTACAGCCATGAGCCACCACACCAGACCGCTTATGTTTTGTTTTAAATCTGTCATTATATCTAAATAATTTCATGTCCTTCACCATGTTTGTGGCTACTACAAAATAATAGTTCCTTATTGTAAGTACTGCTAATTATTAACCAATTATAATATTACCTTATAAAAAGTTTAAATAAAAATATTTTTTCACTTAAAAAGCATATATCTGATCCCTGATTTTTCTTTTTTCTTATAATTATAAAATGCCTAAACTATGCTATGAAACCAAAACTGTTCTTCAAAAGTCTATTTTTTTAATACATGCATGCAGGAATTATATTTATTCTTGGTTAGCAAATGTATTTGTTGGAGATGGTTAAACATTTATCTATTCTATTGCATTATAAATTAGTTGGAGAATCTGATAAGTCTAGATCTACCACTAATTTAAAAAATAGGTTTTTCATTTAAATTTTACAAGCTCTTTCCAATTCCAAATTTTAACTTTAATGTCTAGTACAAGAGACATAACTGGTGCATTGATTATTACAAGGTACATCACACAATAAGAAATAATCACAACTAACACATGCAGTGTGGAGAACTTGCATACAACTCACATGCAGCCTCTTGGGTATCAGCTATACTGCTAAAGGAACTTGAATTACTGCCATGTATTATACAACGTGGCAACGCCCAGCAAATTTAAGACTTTTGATTACTCTTTGTCCCAGCAATTTTGTTTCTAGGAAGTTAACCCAATGAAATAGTCATGAATACATAAGATACATTTACAATGATAGTCATTACAGTAGTGTCTGGTGAAAAATTAAAAACTTCAATGTCCATCAATAGAGGATGATTCAATAAATTATGATATTCTCACAGGAGGAAATATGTGATTAAAAATTATCATAGAAAAACATAAATGATGAAAATGTTCACAATAAATTGTTAAGTTAAAAACCAGAATTTAATATCTATGGTATA